AAGGGGCACCCGGCGGCTTTTGTCCCAGGAGCTTTCCCTTGGCTGGACATGGCTGGCCCTCTCTCCCGCGTCCCCCCCCGGGGGAGGGGGGGAGCGCCGCTTGGCGCGGCCTTCCAGGCCTTGGCCTTTTTCATTTTCGCGGGGCCAGCCGCTGGGCCCCTGATGTTGTGGTGGATTCCTGACGGCCTCCTGGGTGACCCGTGCGGTCGCGACCCTTCTGTGTGTGTGTGAGTGTGTGTGCGTGTGTGTGTGCCGGTGTGGCCGGAAGGGGGCAGGGCGGGGGTGGGGGCCGGGGTGCGAGCGTGAACCCGAGACAACGGACCCCCCGGCTCGTTGACCCAGTGTGTACATTGCACAGCGCGGCCCCCGGTTAGTGTGTTGTATGCCGCCCCCCTCCGGTGGTGGTTTATACGCGCGCTGCCGCCGGCCTACTCCAGCCAGGTGCCCGACCAGCCCCCCCCCCCCCAAAGGGGACGCGCTTGCCGGACGAAGAGCAGGGACTTATCCACGGGGGCGGTGGGGGGCAGGGGCCGCCGGGAGCCCCGGGCGTGCCTGTGCCAGGAACGGGCTGTGGGGTGTCCCGGCTATGTGCGCCCCACGAGCTGCCCCCCATGTCCACACCCCCCCACCCCCCAGCGCGTCGACGCCGTGGGGGGAATGGGGGCTCGGCGCGCGGGGGGGAGGGGGGGGGGGCTACACGTCGCCCAGCTTCGACAGCGGTGGTAGCAACGGCTAGCAGGTGAGTGCCCCCCTGCCCCCCCGCCTGGTCTCTTGGCAGCGGGCCGGGCAAGGACCGGCCGAGCTGGAAGTGGCGAGGTTGACGAGCGTTGTGCAACTGGCAGCCCAACTTTGCGCGGCTCAAGGGCCTCCCCCGGGCGAGGGGCATGGGGTCCTGCGGGCCTGCCTGTTGGCGTGGTGTTCAGCTGACCCCCCCCCCTCAGTCACATCGTGTGGTGCTTTCACATTGGGGGGCGGGGGGCGGAGGACTACACACACACACACACACACACACACATAACACACATAGGACAATCTCTGGGCTCGCTGGCGTGCGCGCGCGCGTGTGCGTGTGTGCGTGGGCGCAGTGGCTCTTCCCGGCCGGGCTCCGGGTTTCATCGGCCCGCCCCTGGCGAAGGTGGGACCCCCGCCGCCCCCGGCGACACTGGCTGGCCCGGCTCCCTTCCTCCGCCCCTCTCGCCTCCCATAGCGTTGGCGACTGGGGGTGCACATGCCCATGGAGGCTTCTGCTCTCCTTTGTCCTCTCTTTCTTTCTCTCTCTCTCTCTCTCGGACTCGCCAGACACGGGCCCAGCGCTTTCCTTCCGCCCGGCGGGGGCCTCTGGCCCCGCATTTGCCATCCCTTCCCCACCCCGGCCGGGGGCCTGGACGGTAGTTGGGCCCATGGGGCCTCCGACAAAAACACACGAGACACACCCACCCTCTCGGACACACAACACACCCGCAGGCCGGCAGGCTTGTCTTCCCTAATCTGTCCTGCATCACACGCATCACCTGCGGTCTTGTTCCGCGACCCCGGGGGGGG